GGTGACCTCAGGTGACGTCACGGAACCCGTGCTGAGCGTGCTGGAGACGGATCCGCCGCCCGGTATCGCTGTGGAGACTGTAACCTCCTAATCCTCCCCGATCGACTGGCTTTTGGAAGGGAAAAGAACTTTTTTCTTTTTTTTGTTGTTAAATTAAGGTGCTGTTGGCCAGCGGCGCTGAGAGCAGAGGGTCGAAGCCGCCCCGTCGCCTGGGGTAGACGCTTTCCGCTTCCCCAGCCGCTCGCGGCGTAACCCTGCTTTCAGCGCGGTGCCGAAAGGTGCTTTTAAAGCTTCACCTCGAGGGATCGGAAGCTTTTTAACAAAACCGTGACCTGACGGCTGCTTTGGGGATGTCAAGACGTTGCTGGGGAGCGGGAAAGAAAAACCTCGTTGGCAAAGCCGCTGGCGTCGGCTCTCGGCTGCCCGGGGAATCCCAAAAACTGTGAATAACCCAGGTGCTCGCTTCTTTCCGCCAGCACCCGGATCTGCGCCTTCAGAAAAAGTCGTTTCTTGGGGTGTTGCTCCCGAAGTGTGGGAGGATTTCCCCTTTCAGCCAGAGAGCGAACGACCCGGTTCTTTTTGTTCCCAAACCACGAATCTTTCCGATCGAGGCAACCTCCAACGCAAAGCTCAGGCGGAAGGTCCGTCAGCCGGCGCGTTCCGCGATATCGGGGATCACTGCGCGTCGCCGTCACTGTGCCAGGGATGGTTTGGGGGAGCTCTGCCCGAAGGGATCGCAAAAAAAACCCAAAAAAACTCTCCTCCATTTTCTGGTGTTCAGCCAAACGTTCTGTTCGCCGCCTCTGCGCCAAGCGGCAGCGTTAACCTCTTCCATACGTAAATCTATACGTACGGCGGATGCTGCGAGACAGCTCGGGAGTCGGCTTCGCTCTGGAAACACAAAATTTTTTTTTGCTAAACAGTTTTTATTTTTACAGCTACTAAAACCTTTTTTACCAAGCAGCTGATCTTGTTACTGAAATGTTCAATTTTTAAATTGTTGATTTTTTTTTTTTTTTTTTTTTTTTTTTTCCTCTTTGCGGCCGCGTTCGGCGCAGGGATGGGGTCAGTCCAGCGGATCCCGGGTTTGCCGACAGCGGGGAAGTGACCGGAATCACCCCTCTGGAGCTGGAGGATGAAAGACGAGCGAGCGAAGTTTAGAAAAATACCGTCACGGCGCAAGGTGTGCCGGCGCAGCGAGGTTTTCGGGGTGAGGAGCAGCCGGCGGCTCCTGGGACCTGCTCCCCGACGACAGCGTCTCGCAAGATGAAAATTCAGAGCTCTGGTGGCCCGCGGTTTGGG